AAATATACTATTCGTTGCAACACTAATACAATGCATTCTTGTAAACAATTTACTGTTTGAATAAAGGAATGTTAAAGCACTTACATTTTCTATGTTAACAGTGTCAATGGATGTGTATTTTTCTTTTAGAAATTTGAAGTACAGGCACTCCCTACTTATGAACAGGTTAGGTTTCTGAGGTTTTGTCATAAGTTGAAAACTAATCTAAAAAGTACATTTGTACACAGAATAACCACAAACATTAGTGTTTGATCCTTCAATGTAATTAAGAGAATATATTTACCCACTAGCTACTGCTTAGTAGCAGGTGTTTCAAATGTGGTTTTTTTAACCTAATCCACTTAGCAGTGGAGATAAATGCATGTATGGTTCTATTACCAAGGATCCTTGGTAATAGAACCATACTTCTTGCATTTATCTCCACTGCTAAGTTTACTATTATTTTGGATGCATTTTTGAAGCACTAATTGTAAAAGTTTATAAAAATGGCAAACAATAGTGAAAAATGCCATTATTTCAACATTACCAACTTCAAGGCTACCTCACAAATGATGATGAAATGTCAGAATCTGCATGAAAACAAAAAATGATGACACGCAATAAAAATAAATCCACATTAATTATTCATTAAAAATTTATTATTTCTTACTGGCCAAAGACTAACTTCAACACCACCCACAACCAGCATGAGAACTTCAGAATTCAAGAAAAATTTAAATTTTAGATTTGTTTGGTCAAATTGTTTGTAAGTAGAAGAGCTCCTGTATTTGAAAGCAATCCAATTGTTTTGGTAAATTTCTGCTCATCCTGAAAGCATAATTTTTGAAGTATAAATGAAACCTAATATGACATCTGAATAAGGTTTTGAATTTGAATAAGCATTTGAATAAAATAAATAAAGCATAAAACTAAATAAGACATTTGAATAAGCATTTGAACCAACAACATAAATAAAGCAACATTTGAATAAAGTACAAGAAAGATGACTATTTAATTACCTTTTCCAATGCCCGTTGACTTCTCTGTTTTGATATTCTCTCTTCTACATGAAGTTAATAGGGAAGTCATCTTGTTTTTAATTTCACCCACATTTCACCCCATATTATCCACAATGTGCAGCTAAGCATCATTCTTTCTATTTTTTATGTTGTAATTATTGTCTTTTGGATCTCACAATTCTGGTTTTTGTCTGTACAGGTTAATTACTTTTTGAATTTATTGATAATTCCATACAAAACTCATTTTACAATCAATAATTAACACATGAAACAAGTCTTGTGTTAATTAACTCAATCAGTAAAACACACAAATCCCTCTCACATTCAGTAACGACATCAAATGTCGTTACTAAATGTGAGTGGGATCCCCATTCAAATAAAACACACATAAATGTATTCTTTTCTTTGATGTAACGACACTTGCCAGGCCATGTTTGTCAGTGCTTGAAGTTGCACAATATGGCATAGTTTGCCGTCAGAACCATCTGTGCCATGCCATGCCTCTTTATTTGGTTTGACATAGTTCAGCAAGATTGGTCTGGATGTAGCTTAATGGTTTTTACAGATATTTAAGTTTCATTATATTAATTGACATAACTCAACTACACAGATTTAATCAAGATTTTCAATTAGAAAATCTTATATAAGAAAATCTTACAAATTTAAATTTATAAATTAAAATGTAAATTTATGTAAATCTTATTATAGAAAATCTTAAATCTTTTATAATTATTTTTATTAAAGAATAGTGAATAATTTATTTAAATTTAAAATAAATATTTAATTAATATTTACATACAGATTTGTTCTTGGATCTGCAACAGTTAAGTCACTATATAAAGTGCTAAAAATAAAGTTTATAAAGGCAGACAATTCAAAAAATTTGCTGGGGGTCTCTATACTTTTCAATTATGGCACTGTTTAAAGGTAAAGTTATCATTTCATTAAGTTTTCCATAATTTTTATAGCCTTACATGTATTCAGTGGTGATATTCGAAATATTTAACAAAGGGTTTGCTAACAGAAAATTTTTCCTTAACAATTTTTTTTTCGCTCAAATGGTGCATTAGCAACATTAGCGCAAAAACAGACCTTAAGATACCCATATAAATAAAAAAGATGCGTTCGCAAAATTAAGTCAGTTAAAATTTAACATTGTTTATGCCAGAACTATATTTTTTTTTATAAATAATAAAAAAGAGTGTTCAAAATGGTTTATTTTGTACATATTTTAATATTTTTCATTCAAAATATTTTATAAACATAAAAATTGGCTTTTTTTTAATCAGAAAAAGTCATAGGGAAAGCAGTTAAACAAGAAAAACTTTTCTAAATCATTTATTTTATCGTTAGGTATTATTATAATAATAGACAGATGTCATCGTCTCTCGAAATACAATATCTTTCTTATTTCGCTGTTGATAGCCCGACACGTGTTCCGCAGCCATCTTGTATTTTCTTGCGCGCGTGGGATTGTGGGATCTCTCTTATGACTGGATCTAGTTTCGAGAACTCTCTCGAGTCGATCGCGATTGAACCTCGTTTTAGTCGAGATTGAAACGGTCGATGGAGGTTGCACTAAGCGAACAGGGTATAAGGCTCTAGTTTAGTAGTGTTACAGAGTATAATACGTATATTTTAATATATTTTTTAAAAGAAACAAAATCACCAAGAAATGTTATGTGTGTTTAACAACGGGTTTGGAAAACTTTGAAAATGTTAACAACGGGTTCGGCCGAACCTGTGCGAACCCGCTGAATATCACCACTGCATGTATTCACAGAACTATAAGATTATTGAAAACTTTAATACTAGTTTGTTTCCAAATTTTTTTTCAGCAGTCATTCACCTTTGCTGAAAGACAAATCTTTTATTCAAATAACCTTTTTTTATTTTTGAGTAAACACAATCTTGTTTTATGGATATTACATTTTAGTTAGTTATTTTCATTAATAATTGTACACTTATCAAACTTTATTTCTAAATTTAATTGTCATTATGTTTTAATCATATTAATCTGTAAATTTTTAATTTTTCCTAAAAATTGTTTTCTTAGTAGAATATTAACAAGCATTATTATACATCTAAAAAGGGGATATGTAGGAAAGCAGTTTATATAGTCTGAGATAGCATCTTAAAAATACTGAACAAGTGGGTTTAACTTAAGCCCAATTGATCCTCATCTGAAAATGTTCCCTAGTCACCTCAATTGCAAAATAATCAAGAAATCTTACTGGAACTAAATCAAATAATATAAGTAAAACAACGCCTTTCTTGTAAACAATTTACTGTTTGAATAAAGGAATGTTAAAGCACTTACATTTTCTATGTTAACAGTGTCAATGGATGTGTATTTTTCTTTTAGAAATTTGAAGTACAGGCACTCCCTACTTATGAACAGGTTAGGTTTCTGAGGTTTTGTCATAAGTTGAAAACTAATCTAAAAAGTACATTTGTACACAGAATAACCACAAACATTAGTGTTTGATCCTTCAATGTAATTAAGAGAATATATTTACCCACTAGCTACTGCTTAGTAGCAGGTGTTTCAAATGTGGTTTTTTTAACCTAATCCACTTAGCAGTGGAGATAAATGCATGTATGGTTCTATTACCAAGGATCCTTGGTAATAGAACCATACTTCTTGCATTTATCTCCACTGCTAAGTTTACTATTATTTTGGATGCATTTTTGAAGCACTAATTGTAAAAGTTTATAAAAATGGCAAACAATAGTGAAAAATGCCATTATTTCAACATTACCAACTTCAAGGCTACCTCANAAATTGATCTAAAACAAATATGCTTACTTCTTAACCAATATCCGGCATGAAAACTCCAAACAAAGATTGGCAAACGCTTTCGATGCCCCTCCTGGGCTCTTCTTCAGGCCAAATTTACTGTACTGGATTCTTAAATCGAATGTTTTTAAATAAGAACGTGCTCAGTTAAAGAAGGTAATCACGTGCTTTTCCAAATCATAATTAATTTTTTTATAAATTATATTCGTGGAGATATGTTGTGCGCATCCCATAATAATCTTGTGTATCTTATAATCACGTGCCGTTTCTAAAAATACTTTTTAACTAGTAGCGATACTAGTTAAAAAGTATTTTTAACTAGTATCGCTACTAGCGGTCGAAAACGTTTTTAGAGAATTAAATGTTTTTGCTGGACTGTTAAAAAGGAGTTGTTTACTTATATCAATTGCAAAAACCAAACAGACTGCACCAGATAAATTTCTCATCATTCCAAAAGGGTAACAGTCTGCAAAAGTAAGACATCTATTAACACACCTACTAAACAAGTGCTGCTCTATTAAATGCAGCAAACTGCAACACTGTACATTATGTACTTTTCTTATAACTGGAGATTTTCAGCATGATCTAACAGAGGTTAATTAATAGAAGGAACAAGCAGCCTCTAAATCAGTGATTCTGAACTTTTTCTATTTCCTGCACACATCTTTATTTTTTTAAATGTGTTTTTGCACCTACATGAAAAATTTATTCATTTTTTTATTTATTTACAGAATACATCAAATTTCCTCACATGTACTGTACATTAGTTTAACTTTAGATGCAGCATAAGTAATTAGAAAAACACACAAAAATTCCTCCAAACTTGTACTAGCACAAAACTCAAATATTAATAATGGATTTTAAGGATGTAGTAAATAAGTAATAGCATTTTTTGAAAGAAATGTTTTATTACAAATTCTATAATTTAATTTCTGTTACTAGTTAAATGTATAATTTTAAACATCTTTAATAAAAAATCTCACATCTCCAGAAGTTGTGTCTCGACTCACCATTATACATATACTGTACCACAGGTTAAGAACCACTGCTCTAGATGGACCGTATTCATTTGTTATAATAAAAAACAAGAATTTTAATGTACATTATGTATTATTATTAAAAAATTAGCAATTTAATATAATTAATAATGTGTGCATGCATGTTTATTTATATTTATATATATTGCATAATACTATACTTACATATGTACATTACGTGAAGCACAAGATGGATCATCCATAAATGCCACAAACTGCCATATGGCTCTAATAGTCTGAGTCGGAACAGAGAAATGAAATATAACAACATCCCGATAAGAATGAAAGGGTCTCAGCAGGCTTTCTTGGTAAGCATCTGATGGCACATAAACTATATGAAAAAAATTTTTTTAAATGATGGTTATAACAAAAGTAGGTTTGTATCATTAATCATAGGAGATAAATACAATTTAGAATTAATATTAGCATTGAGTATTTTTTATTAAATTGGAATAAATCCAATGTTAATATTTATTTTAAATTTTTGCTAATTTTTATAATGCAAAATCTATAAAAGATTATACTACCCTTTATAAAAGTAACTGAAAAAAAAATTAATTTAATGAACTATCATAAACAACCTTATTTTTACTTTTCCAGCAAAACCTCACTAGACAAACATTTTTGGCCAACTCTATAGGACATCATCAGGTCTAAATATAAAATTACATAAAATTCTTATATTCTACTTTGGAATGCAAAGGTGTTCCATAACAAATTTAAAATATTCAAAAATGTTTTAAAAAATGTTTTGGAAGGCTAAGGCATTTAATCATGATTTCTGAATATGTAAAAAATTTTACAAATATTAAAAATACTGTAAGACCCCACTTATGCGGAAAATGCATTTCTAGACAACAAAGTGCTAAGCGAAATGTGTTAAATGAGGTCATTTTAACATAGAGTAAATAGAGATAGGGGAACACGTGACCAAAAATAAACAAATTTTACTTTAATCTTAAGTTATTTTTATATTTTATTAAGTTTATTTTTTGTGATGAAGGTCCTGACTTTTCTGAAATTCTTGTTCTTTTGCAATAAAGTCGTAAAGTTTCATTTGTGGCTTTTTTCTTTCCTTAAGCAAATGTTGGTAGCAGAAGATCGCATCCAAAATGCCTCGTTTCACTTTTGCACTCCTTTCAAAATCTGGATCGTTCGCTACAATTTGACCAACGTGTTCGGTTATCTTACCAAACTTTTACTAAGGAAATCTGTAGAGAAATTTTTTGGGTTCTTCGTTTTCAAAATCTCTATTTTCCAGTTCCACATGAATTCCATGTTCTGCCAGTTCTTGAAGGTTGTCATTGGTAAGGAACTTACCAGAAACCTGCTGTAACTCCTCACTAGCCTTCTCGTCTATATCTCCTAGTCCTGCTATATCGATTAGGTTGAGTTTGGCCAACCTAACGATACAGCAATAGGCTCTTCTCGTTGAGAATTCTCAAATACCTTTGGCCATAACTTCTTCTACACTTCGTTCATGAATTTATCAGTTAACTCTTGCCAAGTGAAGTCAATATTGCCTATGGCATCCATGATGTTATATTTTTTCAAAATTGCACCAAACAAACATAGATTTAAAGACCCTTAACTAATTGGTTTGTGTTTGCAAATAATCATATTATATTTGAATCAATGAAATGCCACGATAATTTAAATCGGTGTAAATTTTGAGCTTTTTTAGGCTTCGAGCAGACTGCGTTATATCAAATCGGAATTAAGCAAGGCAGCATTAAGCGGGGTCTTACAGTATAAGATTTTACAGATATTAAAATTAGTAAACTATTTTTAACTATTATTAAAATATTCTCCCAAAAAGCAATATTACATTCATATCTGGCCACCCTGTTTATGCATCATCATATTGACTATATCTCCTCATTAGGGTTTCTCAAATGGGATCCCGGTCGTTTTTTTTAAGCCAGGAAATATCCCAGGAAATTTTTCTTATCCTGGGAAATCCTGCAAATTTCTTAAAAATTCACTTTTTTCTTATTTTGTGTTAAGGTTGAGGAATTTTGCAAATACAAAGCATAATTAATTCATAGACTGTCAGAATACATTTGTATTTATTAATTTTAAACCTACTTATTAGTTTTTTTTTAATTTTTGCTCGTTATGGCATGCCACAAAAATGGTCAATAATCAATACGTAGCTTATTTGTGGCAGGACTCTCAAAGTTCTTTACCTGTAATATCTGGAATAATTGTGCTTATGTTGTCTTAATTTTTAACTGTGCCCAGTAGCTTCAATAACTGCGTAATGCTAGGTTGTGCAAATTGGGCAAGGATACAAACGAGTATGAAGTTTTTCTTCATAAACCTGATTACTAAAGCCAAACGAATTGGCAAATTATTGAGCTATAAGCTTGATGCCATTATTAAAGCAGCCAAGGTATACATATCAAGAATACTAGAGAGCAAAAGTAGTACTACAATCTCAAAAATGAACTAGAAATCTTCCAAGCTACAGGTGAAAAAACACATAATATCTGTCTTCTCTTACATGGATTAAACACGATTCCAATCACATCAATCGAATCAGAAAGGACATTCTCAGTAGCAAGACATTTCATTACTAAAATAAGAATTAGATTGAGTGATCAGAGTATTGACCATCTTTGCTTTTTAAAATCTGATAAAAGTTTACAATATTTTGTATTATATTTTATTTAAAAAACAAAAATTACCTTCTAAGTTAGAAGTTTGATCTAAGTTCATTTTTAATTTTTTTAATTTTTAACTCAATTCAAAGCATTTTTTTCTGTTGTTGTTATTGTTGTATGCAGTTTCCAGCAAACTTTAATTAATTTTTTTCTATTTGTGAAAATTTCTACGTTATTTAAAGGTAATTTTTATTATAGGCCTATAGACCTTACACAGCATTATTAATATGATTTTGGAGGTTACAGAACTTTAAAATTACTTTAAAAAATGGAAAATAATTATATCATTTGATTTCAAGATATTTTGTATACCTTAAAAATAATTAATTCTATCCCGGGAT